TCCAATAAGTTTAAACTGATTTTTGCATTATTACGATATTATCGCAGACGATATATATCGCACACCCCTAGCGCCAACCCAAAGTTTCTCGTTGGAACGTAATAGTTTATCGGGGGAACGCAAGCGCATTTAATTGTTGTTGTTCCTTCTATCACCGTCTAAACCATAGACTGTATAAAAATATCGACATAATGTTCGTGACATCACCCGTAGTTTTCTGAAGAGCGTTTTTGAAGCTCAAAGTGCGCGTCACTCCCGGATAATCGAAAATGGGCAAAAATGCGGGAGCTGGTTGCTGAAGCCACGCCCACCTAGCTCGATGGCCGTGTCAGCAGCGGCAATCCACCTGTCACTCAAGTGGCCACGCCCTTAATTATGCAGAACTTTAAGGCGAGACACTGCAGGTGAATAGGGTAAAACAATTTACTACTAATTATCACCTTACGTACCCAGTTGATTGATTACATTGATAATTGCAAACATTTGCATATGCAAATGAGGCATTATTTAATTAAATATGCGCTAATTTGCATACATTTCTAGTACAAAAATCTGAACACTGGATGAAGTCAGTTTCAGAAAATACTTTGAACAGCCAGAAAACAATATATTTTCACAATTTTTGGGGAAATAAAATGTTGTATATAATCAAGCAAATTATATATGAACAAATCCCTCTGTAAAAAAAGCTTCAGAATATAGACAGGAATAAAAATGTAAAGTTTGGTCTGTGTAAGTGCTACTGAAGTAAAGGTTTATGGCTCAGTGTAGGAGAAAAAAACTCATTTTGAGAAAACGGCCTTTAAAAATATGTATTGTAATTGAAATCTATTGACACAAATAGATAAAGTGCTATAAAAGAAATGCTTAACAGTGTCTTTTGGATGTTTTCTTTCCACTAGTCTGAAAAAACACTTTATGAAAAGCCAAAAAGACCAAAATCTCAAAATTGACAGGTGCATGTGTTTTTGCCTGCAGTGTCTCCCCTTAAGGCTTAATATAATTTAAACGGATGAGTTATAAAAAAATTCACCCCCCTCACAGTTGTCATGAAGGGCAAAATGAGCTATATAGACCAAAATAATTTTTTGAACCAGGCTGTAAACATGTTTTTTTCTGCTGTAAAGTTGGGCATTTTAACATGGGGAGTCTATGGGATTGACTCCCTTTTGCAGCCAGCCTCTAGCGGCCATTTGATGAATTACAGTTTAAGTCACTTCCGTGTTGGCTTCACGAGAGAGAGCGGGAGGTTGCCGCTTGGTCTAAACCTACATTTATAGATTGAAACGTGGAACAGTTGAACAACTCACCTGTGTTTTATCACCTGTCCAGCAGCGTCGTTACGCAAAGCGTTCTCCATCCAGAATCTGACGCAGATCGAGACACCGTGGGAAGGTGTGACGCTGAACAGGTGTCTGATAGCAGCCATAACCATCCTTCTGCTGAGCTCCGTTTTACAGAGAATACACGGCAAGTGTACTTATGTCAAATAACATCTGAAAACAACAAACCCTAAAATGATTGATAGATGTTTTCTCCTTATGCAGAAGCCGTCAGAGGCCGCAAAGACGTCAGTGAAGAGCTCATAGCACTAAACGAGAGACATACTCTGATTAAAAGAGGGAAAATAACACCACATGAGGTGAGAACAAAAACAAACACAAGATCTACGAAGGTAAAGATATCGCTTTTGCAAGTAAAATCGTTGTTTTTCTATGTAAAGACACACAAGACGGACGTTTTTGACCGTTGCGCTCGCACATGAAAACGCACCGCTCAAGTTTAAACTGCTTCTGATTGGCCAACCGGATAACCGGCGCTATTTTCATGCGTCTCGTATCACTCCGCGAACTCCCTCTTTTTTCTTTCACAAAATTAATTATTAGTGACATACTTGCGTCTCAGTTATTTAATAATGTAGCAAAATGAATTCAGAATACGCCGTATTAATATTACTGGAATGTTGTTGCTGTTTTTGTCTTGTTTTATACATTGCAATGGACTTTTTTTCTTAGCGGCGGAAGCTTCACGATAATATACAGATAAAGTGATTTAAATAATTCAATTCAAATCAATATTTCATATTAAATTTTATTTATTTGATGAGAAATACATAATTATTATTCACAGGGACATTATGGAAATACTGTACAGATTTAGGCACAAAAAAAAAAACATGTTATTTAACACATCTGTATGTAAAAATAGTAGTGCTGTCAAATGATTAATCGCGATTAATCGCATCCAAAATAAAAGTTTTTGTTTACATAATATATGAGTGTGTACTGTGTATATTTATTATGTATATATAAATACAAATACATGCATGCATATATTTAAGAAAAAGATGCTAATTAATATAAAATATAATAATATAAATATATAAATGTATATACATGTAAATATTTTCAAAATATATACTGTATGTGTGCATATTTATATATACATAATAAATAAACACAGTACTGACACTCATATATTATGTAAACAAAAACGTTTATTTTGGATGCCATTAATCGCGATTAATCATCTGACAGCACTAAAAAATAGTAATCATTTACATCTGAATTAATACTCTTAGCCAGACACTTCCTTATGGGAAACATTTTTCTGGTGGATTGATGATGATGATGACGAAGGCAAATCTAAGAGAGCGACTCGTGGGAGAGTTTCCAGGGGCCTCAGGCACCGGGCCCTTCCGGACCCCAGGCTCTTGAAGAAAAGAGAGACAAAATTCACCGAGCGCAGAAGAAGACACGAAGTAGATGAGACTAAAGAGAAACTGACAAAAGAGGAAGAGATGAAAGTCAAGAAGAAGGTCGAAGAAGAGGAGGAGGACATAGAGAAGATGAATAAACCGAAGAAACCAGCGAAAGAGAGCAAGCGAAAACCTATGAAGAAAGAGAATCAGTGACGTACCAACGCATAAAGAAAATAGGGCTGATGGCATATGTGCTTAAATTATCATGAAAATAATGCTAAATAATCTTAATGGTCCTAAAATGATTACATGTTTTCTTTTGATTACAGGCTGAAATATTATACACTCTCAGATCTTGATGCACTTCTCTAGTCAGTTGATGATCATGTGTATAATTTGGTGCTTTTTTGCTTTGTAAAGTCCATATTTTTCAGAGACTTGATAGTAACTTTACTGAAACCATAAACCCCTCGAGACTTTTTTTACGACTGCAAGTAAAACTCACAAACATTATATTCTAATAGAGGACGTTAAGTTTCAGATGCCACTGAAATCACTGGTTACTGTCAGGTGAGAATGAGATCAAGAGGTTGCATTAACAAGAATTGGTTTATATCAATGCAAGTTTATTTTAAATGTTTAAAACAATAGTTAAGCGACATTATAAAGTAATGCAATGCAAAAGTAAAGCTTTTTTAAAAATGTAACAGTGTTTTGTGATTTTTCTTGAGTTCTTTTTAAAGTTGCTTCATCTATATATATATACAGTGGGTAGGGAAGTATTCAGACCCCCTTCAATTTTTCACTCTTTGTTATATTGCAGCCATTTGCTAAAATCATTTAAGTTAATTTTGAGAAATGCATCATCTATATATATATACACAGTATATATGAGAGAAATGCATCATCTATATATATATATATACAGTATATATGAGAGAAATGCATCATCTATATATATATATATATATATATATATATATACACACAAACACACATATAAATATAATGGAATATTGCTATGTTTATTATAAAAGCTTTATCTGTGCACATAATTTTTTCCTTTTACTTCATGTGCCTTCAAAATATAATCAAACAACGTAATTTTATCTCCCCCTCGCAAATAGCAAGCAACAACCATCTAATCAACTTCCAATGGATAAATTCAAGTACATTTCTCATTCAAGAAATCATTTCATTCAGATGTTATAGTATAGAAGAAAAGACAATTACAACTTCGATTTCATGTCAACTTTAAAGATGGTTTTAATAATAATAATAAAAAAAAAGCATAAAAATAACATTTGGACATTGGTAGGGCTGCTGTGGCCCACAAGTCCATTCTCTAAACATTCACAGAACTGTCAAATCACTACATATTTAGAGGGTTGTGTACATGACAAAGGAGAAAAACTAAATAAACATGTCCATTCATGTCTAGAAACATCAATTGTTAACACTTGAAGCCTTTACATATAATGCATTATAAAAAATATTCATAATGTATGTTGTAATCTTTTCATAAACAATTGCAACCAGTTAAAATGCATTACAATATTTGAAGGTTTGTTTGTGTTTTAATGCATTACACTTTCTAAAGTTGTAACAATGAATAGAAAAGTATTATAACTGTGGTTACAATTATTCATGAGGTCATATACATGGGTCAAAGACGAAAAAGGGTTTAAGCATAAAAACAATAAGTGTAATACTGCTTTAAATTGTTGTTTTTCCCCAAAAAATTAAAAAAGTTTTCTGTTTAATTTAATTGCAATCTTGTTTTTGTTTTTCCGCACAAAAAATAAATATCATACATTTTTCCCTGATTTACAGAAGAGACCCACTAGAATGTCATTCAGTGTAACAATCCTGTCAGGCATATTTACAACAAAAATCAATTTATGACTAATTACTAAAAGACTAATTACTTTCACCCCAAATACTAATTAGTTGTAATTTTACTTTTTTTTTAAATGTGCCTCTATCCGAGGTTTTGCCCGTTTGTCAGTAAGAATTTCTTACTCATTTAAAACACAATAAAATTTAATATGCTCCCTTATTATTTTATATATTTTAATATGTACACATCAGAATAAGCATGTTTGAATTTTTACATATATATTGTGTTACACTGAATGACAATGTAACATTATTTCAACCAAATTTTAACATCTTATTCTCCAAAAACATATTTGAAACCTTAAAAGTAGACACTTTACTTACATTTAATGTGCTTTCTATGGACATAAAATCACTTTTGTCAATTTCTTTTGATGCGGACATCTTAACGTCTTTGACCCACATGCATTATAAGGTGAATGCATTAAAATACTTTTATTAATGCATTATCTATAAAACCTTCAAGTAAAGCGTAACTCCTTCAGCCGTCGTGAGGGAGTGGTGGCCTCAGGTGAGGAGGCAGGGCTCCTGGAGGAGGCATATGTGGGCGCATGTGTGGCAAGATGTGGGCTCCGGGGGGCATCCCATGTATTCCCCCCGGCGGTGGGGGGGGCATGGAGTCACTGTGCGGATGTGGACCGAGTCCAGTGATGAGCAAAGGCGGACGCTTCACACCGACCGACACCGCCTGACCCGGTGGAGCGGGCAGAGATTTCTCCATCTTAAAGTGAAACTGCAGAAAAAACTGGAGGGGAACGAGAGGTTGTGGTCAGCACATGGAGACAGTCCAGATAAACACAAATTACTTTTATCCATCTGTTCTTACTTGTTTCGTCTCCCTGTTCCAGTGTGTCCAAAAACGAGTCTCTGCTTTGTCGATCTCTCGACTGGGAACCTGAAAATATGACAATCAAATATCAGATGTAGCCTGACATAGGAAATAAGTCAGAAAAACTTAAAGTCTGTAGAATATTTTAGGGCTACAAAACGATTAATCGCATTCAAAATAAAAGTTTGTTTACATACTATGTGTGTGTACTGTGTATATTTATTATGTATGTGTATATATATAAGGGTCATAAGGGTCAATTGTACAAATGTACAAAATATCTTCATGGAACATGATCTTTACTTAATATCCTAATGATTTTTGGCATAAAAGAAAAATCAATAATTTTGATCCATACAATGTATTGTTGGCTATTGCTACAAATATACCCCAGCGACTTAAGACTGCTTTTGTGCTCCAGGGTCACAAATATAAATAAATACACATACATACATGTATATATTACATATATATATTAAGAGTTTTTCCTCCTTCCGTTTTTAAAAAAATCTCCGTCCACATGAAAACGCATGCTGTGAAGCACTGTCAAGAGCATGCCAAACCAACAGGTGGCGATATAATCTCAACCGTAAAGCCATGTTGGCCAATCAGAAGCCTGAAAAAGTCTCCAGTAGGCAGAGATAACAGTGCGTGCTCTGACGTCACAAGCCAAAAACTCAGATTTCGCTGTCTACACGATAACCCTGCGACCGGAGTTTTTGAAAATCTTCATCCTGGCAGGCGTTTTCAAAAATGTTCTGTTTCAGTGACCCGGTGCTGTGTTTGTGTGTGGACGAACAGCCTAACCGCGTAGAAAAAGCTGTGGTTTTAAAAAATAACCACGTTCGTGTGGACAGGGCCTTATATATAAAATAATTATATACAAGTATAAATATACATATATATAAAAAACATTATGTATATATAAATACACACACATAAACATACACAGTACACACACATATAGTATTGTAAACAAACTTATTTTGAATGCGATTAATCATTTTGCAGCCCTGTTTGTATCATAGTTGATCCATCAGGTTTTATGCCTCATATTGTCTGATATAGTGAGAGAGAATATGAAGCTCAATTTTATTGAGACGCAAACTGAGCAAAAATATGCACTTTGGTGCAGATGCTGATATTTACGTAATGGAATTCTGACGCTTGTGATGTAAATCAATGAGATTTTTATAACAGTACAGCAGATACTTATATAAAATAAATAATATAGAGTGATGACTGATATTTATATCTTCAGTGATCTGTCTCAGTGAGATGAGATTGAAATGATCCAAACATATAATGCAGTGATTGAGAGCTGAAGAAATAAAG